TTTTGGGACGGAGTTTCGCTCTTGTTACCCAGGCTGGAGTGCAATGGCGCGATCTCGGCTCACCGCAACCTCCACCTCCTGGGTTCAGGCAATTCTCCTGCCTCAGCCTCCTGAGTAGCTGGGATTACAGGCACGCGCCACCATGCCCAGCTAATTTTTTGTATTTTTAGTAGAGACGGGGTTTCACCGTGTTGACCAGGATGGTCTCAATCTCTTGACCTCATGATCCACCCGCCTCGGCCTCCCAAAATGCTGGGATTACAGGCGTGAGCCACCGCGCCCGGCCTCACTGTTACATTTTGTCACATAATGCTGTACTTTTTCTTCACTATGAAGACCATGAAGATAGGAAGGTGTGTCTGTTTTACTACAATTGATGCCACAGCCCAACATAGTGTCTGATCTATAATAGATGCACAATAATTACCTAATGAATCAATGTATGTCATATTTCATCAAATCTTAGACACTATCAATAATAAATGCATTCCTACTATAAAAATGAATGTGCATGTCAGAATTGAGTAAATGTAGGCAGATTCTTCTCCAAAATGGTGGCACAGAAGCAAGCTGACTTCACCATCCCCTCCCTGCACTGAAAACCAAAAACAAAAATATAATGGCAAGATTATCACCGTCAATATCCCAGAATTAAAACGAGGATGGGACAGTTCCCAGGGCCACAGAAAAGTATTAAAAAAACCTCTCTGAGCAGATGGAAAGATAATCAGACTCCTATATCAATGACGCAGCTCCATCAAATCTGTCTGGCACCAAGTGCAAGGAAAATTTCCCTTGACTGAGTTTCTACACTGGAAAAAATGAGATCAAGGTGCACAAGCAACTTCCCCACCATCTTGGGTTACCTGGCAGAAGACCTATCCTTGTCTCAACCCACGGGAAACAGCATGAGTGCCTGAAGGGTGAAATACCCCTGAGGACAGCCAGAAACAAAGAGAGGATATAGGACCATCATCCAGGGCCCTGGAAACTCTGCTGTTAAACTCAGTGGAGACTCCAAATCAGAGTTCAGCAGTACCATACTGTAGGAGGTATATTCCACAATTCCCCTGAGTACAAATACCTAGCCAGCCTTTCCACACTGACAGGATATTCCCTTTAGGGCCACTCTCTTCAGAATGGGCAGCACTCAGATCATTTACTACAGCCAAGGCAAATCTGGGCTTAAGGCACCATCTAGTGGCAAAAAAGAAGGCAGAGATCTAGCAGGAAAAAAAGATATTTAAAGATAACTTACAAAGAATCTCTAAGCAAATATATCTAATAAAAAATAAAACAAGCCAGACAGAGAAAATGGGAGTAAATAATCCTTAAATGCAAACACAGAGATGTACATCCACAAGAAACAACAGCAAACAAACCTATGACCAGCAAACCTAAGGCCTCCCCAAACAAGACAAAATAAGAAAATAGTGGCTGATCCTAACAAGACAGCAATAAGTGAGCTCTCTAACAAATAAGTAAAAATAGAAATTTAAAGAAAACTCAGCGATCTCCTAGCAAACACAGAAAAACAATCTGCCACAAAGTGATTAAAATAATTTTTCAAAAATCACACAGAAACCTTAGAAATGAGACATACATTTGCTGAACTGAAAAATTCCTTAGAGGCTTTCAACAGCAGAGTGAATCAAGCAGGGGAAACAATGCATTCAAAAATAAGCTATTTGAAAATACACAGTGGCCAGGCATGGTGACTCATGTCCATAATCGCAGCACTTTGGGAGGCCAAGACAGGTGGATCACCTGAGGTCAGGAATTTGAGACCAACTTGGCCAACATGGTAAAACTCCATCTCTACTAAGCCAGGCATGGTAGTGTATGCCTGTAATCCCAGCTACTTGGAAGGCTGAGGCAAGAGAATCACTTGAACCCAGGAGGCAGAGGTTGCAGTGAGCCAAGATGGCACCACTGCACTCCAGCCTGGGCAATGAAGTGAGACTCCATGCCAAAAACCAAAAGAGAGAGAGAGAGAGAGAGAGAAGGAAAAAAAGAAAAAAAAAGAAAATATGCAGCCATTGGAGAAACAAAAAAGAATAAAAAGGAATGAAGATCTGCCTAGGAGATATTGAAAATTACCCTAAACAACTAAACCTAAGAATTATTGGCGTTCAAGAGGAAGTTGAATGAGGGGAAGAAAGCTTATTCAAAGAAATATTAATAAGAAAAGTTTCTAAAACTTGAGAAAGATATAAATATTCAGATATAGGAAGGTCATAGAATACCACATAGATTTCACCCAAATAAGACTACCCCAAACATATAATAATCAAACTCTCAACAGTCAAGAACAAAGAGAGGATCCTAAAAGTATCAAGGGAAAAGAAGCAAATAACATATAAAAGGAGTTCCAATTCATTTTGCAACAGGCTTCTCAAGGGAAAGTATATCAGCCAAGAGGGAGTGAGATGCCATTTTCGAAGTGCTGAAAGACAAAAAAAAACCCTGCCATATTAGAATACCATATCCAACAAAACTATCCTTCAAACATGAAGGAGACAGAAAGTCCTTCCCACCAAACAAAAGCTGAGAGAATTCACCACCACGAGACCTGTCTAATAAGAAACATTAAAGGGAGTTCTTTAATTTGGAAGAAGAAGAAAAAAAAAACCAAAACACTAATGTGAAAAAACAAACATGCGAAGGCATAAAACTCATGAGTAAAAATAGGTACGCAAAAAAATCTCAGAATAATTGAATACTGCAATGGTGATGTGCTTTCAACTCATAACTCTAATATAATGTTTAGAAGACAAATCTATCAAAAAAAGAAATATCAGCAGGAACCTGTTAAGAGATAAACAATATAAAATATATAAATTGAGACAATAAAAAGTGAAAGGGTAGGGGGAATGAAATTAAATTATAGAGATTTTTTTGAAAAAAAAGTTATTTCTGCATTTCTGTCTGGTCTGTGATCTAAGATAAATAGTCATCTCCTTGGCATAACTTATTATGGCTATAAGATGTTTTCTGTAAGTATCATGGTAACCACAAAGTAAAAACTTATAAAAGATACAGTAAAAATAAAAGGCAACAAATTAAAACATACTACTAGAAAAAACTACGTAACTACAAAGAAAGATAGCATGAGATGGAGAAGAGAGAAGTAACAAAATAACCAGAAAACAAACAACAAAATGGCAGTAGATACTACTTCCTTATCAGTAACACTGAATGTAAATGGATAAGATTCTCCAATCAAAAAAGATATAGAGTGGCTAAATCAAAAAAGAAACAAGAGTCAACTATCTGTTGTCCCTAGGAAGCCCATTTTACCTGTAAA